GACCGTAAAAGTCCTCCCAGCCGCCGTGGTAGTCGTAGCTAGGTATTTGAACATTAGATTTGATTTTAATAATTTGGGTCAATTCCTTACGTCATGATGTTCATGAAGTCAAAAAGCTCATTGAGCTCTTTGATGTGATACGCCAGATCGATCTTGTCCTTGCCCGGAGACATGGCCGCCGTCAGCAGGTATCCGTGCGGCTCAAAAGCCGTCTTCAGTTCGCGGACCAGCTCCAGAAAGTTGGTGGCATCGACGGCAGGGTCGCCCAGACGACTGCCCGGGAACTCCCAGTCGAGGTCAAGACCGTCAAAGTCGTACTTGGCCAGGAAGGCGATCACAGAGTCGACGAAGTTCTTGCGGTAGGTGGGGTTCCGCGCCATGTCCGAGTACTTCTCACTGCCCTCGTACCAACCACCGAGAGAGATCATCGTTGTCAGCTCGGGGTTGACCTTCCTCAAGTTGTTGAAACGCTGGTAGCCCTCTAAAGATTTTTAGAATAAGTTTTGGATTTATAAAGAAATTTCAGTAACTCACTCTTGTCCCATGGGTTGGCGGAGTCGTCTTGGTACGGGTCAAAGACCTGAATGGTGTACTTGTACTCGTCAATCTTGGCGAAGCCGTAGTTGACGTGAGTGCACCGGTGCACGTCAATGTCCTCAATCTCGAAGGGGTCGATCTTGTGGTACACCGACCAGGTGCCCAGGTAGCAGACCACTCGCTTCGGGTTCTTCGTGTAGTTGTTCCGGTCTAGAAAAAAAAACAAAAAATTTAATCGCTGAAACACATTTAAAAATTTTGAACCAATTTACCTCGCTTCTGCACTGCACTCAGACTGCCCAGCAGACAGCCGAGGAGGACGATGCTCAGCAGCAGTCTCATCTCTCCGTTCTTTTCAATTTGGGTTGAAAAAAATCTAATACTTTTCAGATGTTTCAGAAGTGGGTGAAGCTTTTTTGGGGCAATTACAAAAGGCAAATAAATGGTACTCTCGCACACCACCTCTGCTGGCTCCTCTTTTTGGTGTTTCAGACTATTTATAAGGTGGTGATTGGGGTGATTGAAAATGAGAGA